GGCATTATCTCACGTATGTGTAACACAGTGGTGCTGCTGACTGATGCAGCCAGCGTTCTCCCGTTATCTCATTTCTGGGGAGCAGAGCTGCTACGTCGACCCAGGTCAGATGTGTCCTCATGCCAGCTGTGCAGGGCTGGGGTGAGGCTTATTACCCTGTTTGACAGATGAGGATGCTGAGGCTTAGAAAGGTTTGGTGGATTTTGTCCCGTGCAGGAGTCTGTGGGCTGCAGAGGTGGCTTGGAGCCCTGCGGCCTCTGCCCACCTGCTGATGGCTGTTTCACATCTCTGAGCCTCAGCTGCCTCCCCTGACCAAGGTGCTGGTGGTCATCAGGCTGCCCTTGGGAGGCATGATGAGGCTCACAGTCGGGGGTGGCAGGGGGTGCCATCTTACCTAAGCCCGGGGGATGTGGTCCCTAGAGGCAATCATGGCAGAGCCCCTGGGAGCGTCTTTGTAACCCCCAGGGTCTTGTTGCTTTCCAGGCCAGTCCCCGGAGGGGTCCTGCACCTGGAGCTGCATCGGGTCTGGACGGGCCTCTTCTGTTTTGGCTCCAGGCCCGGAGACCACAGGCGAGCTCCCTGGAGACCTGGCGGGATCCAACTGTGAACAGGTGAGGACGGAGGCTTTCTGTGCACGTGTGCAGTGCCCCTGGGTCCCCTCAGCCCTGTCTCGTGCAGGGTGTGTGGCCACCCGCAGGAGGTGGGAGGCGTAAAGAAGCTCCAGGTCTGGAAGAACATGCTGGAAATAGTTGAGAGAGAGATTTGAGGAGAGGAAATGAAACATCCTGAGACCTGGATGGGGAGTGGGGAGGAAGGGGGTCAGCTGGGTGCCAGGCCTGGGCTGCCATGGAACAGGCTTCCTCTCATTGGCACCTCCCGACACCCACGAGCCGTTGCTGCCACCTCTGCTCTGGAGAGGAGACGAGACTCCAAGGGCAGCTGTGACTCCCCAAGGCCCCCCGCTTGGAGGTGAACCCTGAGATCCAGGCTCGACAGGCCACACTGCCCCATGCTGGCCCTGAGGGTCAGGAGCCTGTGTCCCATCTCACCTCCCGTGGCTTGCTCTGAGGCTGAGGCAGTCGTAGCCTTTCTCCACTTCCATGATTTTGTCCCTGAGAAGCAGAGCCATGCTGGGACCCGCGAGCCTGGCTGTGGTTGTGTGGTTCTAAACAGAGAAGCCCTCCGTTATCTTTTCATTCATTCACGTCCTGCTCGCCCTCCGTTATCTCTTCATTCATTCACGTCCTGCTCATGATGCATCTCTTATTTTTGTTGTTGGACGTCGCATCCCTATATGCCTCACTCCTCACCACCCCTTCCCTTGAAGCCCAGGGCAATGTCTTAGAACACGGAGGTGCCCCATTTGACAGGTGAGGTGGCTGAGGCTCCAGCAGGTTAAGGAACTTGCTCAAGGTCACACCCAGGATTGAAGCCAGGTCTCTAGGTCTATACCTCTCTGGGGCAAATGCTCTTTTCTCTGTGGGCAGCTGGGACAGTGGCTTGGTGTCTGGATTGAAGGACATTGCAGACAGAGGCAAAGATAACAGAGGAAGGGGTGCTGCCCACCCGCAGCTCCAGGGAGCAGGGAGGTGGTGACCCCTCCAGGCAGGGGCAGCGCTCCTGGCCTTCAAGCCCCCTCTGCCTGAAGGGGCTTTGCTGCTTGTATGTCCACCTGTAAAGGCTCAGACTCCCTCTGTCCTTTGAGATGCTCCCTCTGTCCTTCTCTTCTGGGTCTTAGACCAGCTGAGCCTCTCCCAGCTATTCTAGGGGTTCCACTGAGAACTGCCTGCAGCCTGCCAGGTCTGGGAGCAGCCCCAGGGACTCACAGTGAGCCTAGCTAAAACCAAAATTCATCCTCAGGCTTCCCCAGCCCAGCCGGGGCCTCTGCTCTGAGTTGGACTCCTCCTCTCTGGATAAACACATCAAATAAGCAAAGATAAAAATACATTTAAAATATCAAGGAAACACCTCCTGTGTGCCCAGCACTGTTGTAGGCCCAGGAGTTGAACAAAGATGAAGTTCTGCCCTCAGGGAGTGGACGGCCTGCACGAGCCCCATCTATGAGAGCCTTCTACAGTGCTATTCACAGTCTGCATCTGTGCTGCCCAAGACGGTAGCCATGGGCCACACGGGGCTAGTGCCACCGCAGAACTGAGTGTTAACCTTGATTTAATTACTTTACATTTTAGGAGCTCCATGTGGCCCATGACTAGTGGATTGGACGGGGCAGGGCTATGCGGGGAGTTAGATGATACAGACAGAAATATATAATATGGTGTGAGGGCATGGAGGGTGCTGTAGGGGAAGATGACATGGGGTGGATGGCCCGAGAGTGAGTCAGGGAGGGCCTTCTCAAGGAAGTCATTTGCACTGAGATACGAATGGAGCCAGGGAGTGAGCCCTGAGGGCATCTGGGGCAAGGACATTCTGGGTAGAGTGAAGAGCACCTGCAAAGGCCCTAGGGTGGTACCAGCTGTGTCCTGTGTGGGAAAGAGCTTGTCCCCTGTGCAACTGGTGAGGAGACATGGAGAACCCCAGGAGGTGAGTGGAGGTGGGGGTGCTGAATGGAGGAAGGGGCTGTTTCACACCTCATCTTCTCTCTCCATTCGTAGCTTACTCTGGCAGAGCCTAGCTTGGATGAACAGATTCTTCTCCTGGTCTGTGGCTGCCCCCCAGGGGAGTACTTGGACAAGTCACTCCTCCCCATGGACCTGGCCCAGATTTCAGAAAATCTAGCAGCTGACCCGGCCACAGAGGCCTTTCTCCTGGTGCAGACGTCCGCACTCCCTCTCTGGGGGCCGGCTGGGGACTCCGCTTCTTGGCGACCACTTCTGCTCCAGGAGCTTCCCTCAGATGGACAACAAACCCAAGAAGAGTTGGCCACCAGGTCCCCACCTCCTCCCAAAGCCACAGGACCCCCCAGCTGGGATTGTCACCAGGCAAGAGACTGCAGTGCCTCCCTCTCCCACGAGGCCCCCCACGTTTCAAATCACCGATTTCCGAAAAAACACCCCAAGGATCTGACAGACACTTGGAACAATGGAGGAGGAAGCCCGGGGAGGAGAACTGAAGAGGGGGAGGCAAGGGGGACTTTGGGCAGGAAGGGGAAAAACTCTGGTGACAAGCACCAGCCAAGTCAGGAAAGCCGTCAGAACCTGAGCTTGGAGAACGGGGCTGGAGCCACAGAGGGCGTGCAGGACCAGAATGGGGCTTCAGAGACCAGGGCTGCCACCTGCCACCCTGGGACCTGGCGGGAGTTTTTGATGTCTCTTCTACAGGGGGAGGCCTCAGTATCAAAGGAGGGTCCTGAATCCCTGAGAAGGAGGGAAAGGGTGGAAGGATATGTCTGGGGTCTCCGAGGAGGACTGTCATCAGAGAAGGAGGAAGCGGCGCCCCTAGCCACCTTCTCCAGGTCTCACGAGACCAAAGAGCTGTGGCCAACAGACAGTCAGCTCCTCGCAGGAAGAGGCAGAGCCATTGGGAGGACAGCTAGGGACAAGGAGGAAAACCAAATGTGGCTTGGAAATGCTCTGCTTCTGCAAGGAGAAAGCCCGGAGGACGAAGGGCTAGAGGAGAAGGATGAGGCATCGCATCAAGAAGCATCCAGTCCAGGGTGCAGGGGTGCCCCTCAGGAGCCTGACTCCCAGGAACATGAGAGCAAGGAAATGCTTTTCTTCGCAGGAGAGACAGGTCTGCCTCTGTTTCCCAGATTTGCCTTATCAGCTGACGGGGGTGAACCCACTGGTCACAATCCACAGGCTGTGAGCAAAGGACATGACAGGTGTGCACTCACAATCGATGAGCTTGCACAGGAGGTGGAGGCTTGTTTCCAGCAGCTGTCCACCCTGCAGCCAGGCCGTGGCGGCTGGCGGCGCTCAGCCTCTGCATGTCGGGGAGAGAACTGGAGCTTTGCTCAGAAGTGGCACAGTGGTGGGGAGACAGCTCACTCTCAGCAGGTTTGGGGAAATCGGGCTATTTGTTCTGATGAAGAAGCAAAGTCTAAAGAGAGTGATGAAGGTGATAAGCCAGGAAAGACCATGGCCCTGGGCACCAGCGAAGTTCCTGGTAACCCAGGGACACTGCCTGATTGGGATGAAGCCAGCCCAAACCCTTCAGAGGGGCCCGCGGAGCCCTGGGGTGCCCTCGAGAGAGTGAGGAGCAGGTTTCGTCAGCTCATTTCTGGGTTGAAGAAACAGCGACGCCAGATTTTACACGACACCACCAAACTTCACGGAGACCAAGAGCAGTGCCATGAAAGAGTGTGCGCCCTTGAAAGAGAGAGAGGGCGAGAGGTGACAAAAATATCCAGGCTCGAGCGGGATAACCACAGGCTGGTAGGGGACATCTCTCAGTTAAAGAAAGAACTGGACCAATATTTACAGGTCATCTCCGACCTTGAAGACTGCAATGGGAAGAGTTACAGCAAAATTTTGGAGCTTGAAGAGGAAAATGAAAAACTGAAAGGGAATCTGGGCCAACTTCAGAAATCCATGTCTGAGAGTATCAGGAAATCCAAAGACACGATGGAGCAAGTCACCCTGGAAAACTGGAAGCTCCAGGCGCTGATCTCGGAGCTTGGCGTTAGTTACAAAGAGCTGATAAAGGATATCGTGCTGGGAATAGAAGACATGATCCGGGCCTTAAGCGGGGAGAATGAGCACCTTCTACACAGGGTCCATGTCCTGGAGAGGGAAGTCACCTTGCAGAGGAGCACGGAGCAGGGGCGTTTGGTGAGGGAAAGGGAGCACCTCCAGGGAAAAGCCAAGACGCACACTGTAGACAAAGAGGTGCAGGTAACTCCACTCGCAGGGCAGCTGCTTTCAAGGGCCTGTGGGCCACTCTTGGCGGAGGAAGTGGGTCTGGCTGCAGGGCAGACAGGACCTTCCACAGGCGCTGGGAATTCTAGATGCGGTACTGATTCTCCCCCTCCATCACTGGTCTGGAGAAACGCTGATGTAGCCAACAACCTGCAAGGAAATGTCGGTGGAGCAGGAGTGAAAGAAGCACCTATGGAGAAAGAGGAGAAGAGGCCCAGGTGTTCTGTGGCTCAGGGGCAAGCTCTGAGGTCCCTGAGCAATGGCCCCACGGTAGGTTGGGTCTGCCTGACAGCTTACTCATCACACACAACCCTGTTCCAGGATCCACCCCATTCACTTATGCAGTTCACCAGAGTCCTGTGAGGGAGGTACAATCATTCTCACCACTTTACCAGATGACAGAGGGTTGGTACAAAGAAAACAGAGAAATGCAGTCACCGCAGTTGCACAGCCAGTGAGGGGTGGAGCAGGGACTCACACCTCGGCACTCTGGTCCCGGGATCTCTGTTCCCACCTGCCATGGGAGATTCAAGCCTGCCCCTCTGCTTAGGCTCCAGCAGGGCACCCAGCGAGTGTTCATACTTTAAGATCAGACCTTGCATTTTCCAACCCTGGGGTTTTTCAAGTGGCCCAAGTCCTAATTCTGTATATTGGGTCTTGAAAGTTGCAATGAAAAGAACAATGGACTGTAGAGCATGATAAAAGAGGGTTCCAACCAGGCTCTGTGCTTACAGAGCTGTGACTTTCAGGCCACATGCAGACTTCTCTGAGTCCCTCTCCTCATCTGTGGATAGTTCTTGACTGTTGGGAGTCCTGCAATAAAACACTCATAATATTCCTATGGTGGCCTTCACCATGCGTAGGATATTTAGTGTTGAGACCCTGGCACTCATTCATTCCATTTTCTATCTCTGTTTTTCTCTCCCATCTTGCTCCACCCTCTCTGCCTCCTTTCCCTTCTCTGTGTCTCCTCTATCTCTCCATCTTTCTGCCTTTTGCTCTCCCCGTCCTGCCTCCCTTTCCCTCTTTCTGTCTCTCTTCCTTCTTTCCTTTCTCTCTTTCCTCCCCACCCCCAACAATGTTATTAATCATTTCAAAGAATCTGTTTTCAGTTTTGTTGATTTTATTTATTGTTTGTATTTCATTTATTGGTTTCTTCTTAGATCTTTATTATAATCTTTTTTTTTTTTTGAGGCAGAGTCTCACTCTGTCACCCAGGCTGGAGTGCAGTGGTGTTATCTCAGCTCGCTGTAACCTCCGCCTCCCATAATCAAGCAGTTCTCCTGCCTCAGCCTTTCAAGTATCTGGGACTACAGGCACACGCTGCATGCCCGGCTAATTTTTTGTATTTTAGTAGAGACAGGGTTTCTCCATGTTGTGCAGGCTGGTCTCGAACTCCTGAGCTCAGGCAATCTGCCCACCTAGACCTCCCGAAGTGCTAGGATTACAGGCGTGAGCCACCGTGCCTGGCCTCATTATATTCTTTCTTCCACTTTCTTTTGATTTAATTTGCTGTTCTTTTTCTTGCTTCTTGTGTTGAAAACTTAGGTCATTGATTTTCAGCTGTTCTTCTTTTGCAATGTATGCAATTAAAGCTATAAATGTCTCTCTAAGCATCCCACACATTTTGAGATGAAGTCTGTTCACTTCAAAATAGTTTCTAAGGATTAGAGATAAGGAATATGTATTGCCTATCTACTATGTGCCAGAAAATTTATGTACTATCATTTATTCCTCAAAATTGCCTCAAAATGACATTGTTAGGGCCAGGCGCGGTGGCTCACTCCTGTAATTCCAGCACTTTGGGAGGCCAAGGAGGGCAGATCATGAGGTTAGGAGTTCGAGACCAGCCTGGCCAATATAGTAAAACCCCATCTCTACTAAAAATACAAAAATTAGCTGGGTGTGGTGGCTCGCGCCTGTAGTCCCAGCCGCTTGGGAGGCTGAGGCAGTAGAATTGCTTGAATCTGGGAAGCAGAGGTTGCAGTGAGCCGAGATTGTGCCACTGCACTCCAGCCTGGGCAACAGAGCGAGAATCCATCTCAAAAAAAACAAAAAACAAACAAACAAACAAAAAAGACATTGTTGTAGCTAGCCCTATTTTATTGATTTAGAAATTAAAGTCAAAGAGGATGAAATAAAAACAAGCAACAATAACCCCCCCCCAAAAAAGAAAATAGCTTCTAATTTCTATTATGATTTCTTCTTTGACCCATGGGTTATTTAGAAACGTGTGTTGCTTAATTTCTAAGCATCTCTGGAATTTTTCAGTTATACATTTGTCCTTGATTTCTAGTTTTATTTCATTCCTGTCAGAAAGTATACAGTATGTTATTTTAGTCTTCCAAAATTTGTTGAGACTTGTTTTATTGACCAGGTTATGGTCTATGGCCAACAGTATATCCCACATGCCCTTGTAAAGAAGGAACATTGTTTGATTGTTTCATATCAATTAGGCCAAGCTGGTTAATTGTCCTAATCAAATCTCTTCTGTCTTTGCTGATATGTTGTCTATTTGTTTTGGCATTAACCAAGACATGTTTTAAAACCTTCCACTCTGAATGTGCATTTGTGTATTTCTCTTTTTAGTTATGTTATTTAAAAATCTATATATTATAATGTTCTTTCTTATTTGTTTATTTATTTATTGTTGAGACAGTGTCTCGCTCTGTCACCCAGGCTGGAGTATAGTAGTGTGATCTCGGCCCACTGCAACCTTTGCCTCCCAGGTTCAAGTGATTCTCCTGCCTCAACCTCCCAAGTAGCTGAGATTACAGGCATCCACCATCATGCCCAGCTAATTTTTGTATTGTTTAGAAGAGATGTGGTTTCACCATGTTGGCCAGGCTGGTCTCAAACTACTGACCTCAGGTGATCCACCCGCCTTGGCCTCCCAAAGTGCTGGGATTATAGGTGTGAGCCACTGCGCCCAGCCAATTTATTTTATTTATTTACTATTTTTTTCTATTTGTCTCATCTGTTTTGTTTTCTTTTATTCTTTCTTTCATCCCTTCGTTTTTGGTATTAATTATATTTTGTTATTTATTTTTCTTCTCCATTAGCTTATGTTTTAGTATTATTCTTTTAGTGGTTACCCTAGGCATTTCAAAAATGTATCTAGTAATTATTTAAATTTACTTTAAATTAGTTTTTTTACCATGTCCCGATTAATGCAAAAATTTTTCAGTAGTTTAACTTCATTTATTCTCTTTTTACTTTTTATAACTTTTTTGTTATATATTACTCCTATGTAGAATAAATCTTATAAGTCACTGTTATTTTAAACAATCGTATCTTTTTCATTTACCCATATCTTTACATGTTCTTGTGTTGTTCATTCTTTCTTAGTCTTCTGTGGCTCTGATTTCCTTTTGCCTTAAGAACTGTGGGTTTTTTGTAGTGAGAATTTTCTGGTGATTAATTTTCTCATATTTCTTTTATGAAAACAATTTTTTACCCTTCATTAAGTTTTTTTTCTTCCCATTGGGTTCTGAATTTTAGGTAGCCAGGTATTTCACTCTCTTGGCTCTTCAAAGTCTCATTCCATTGTCTTCTGCCTCTCATAGTTTCTGTCTAGAAATCAGTCGTAGTTGTCATTGTTTTTCTCCCTCACTCTCCCTGAGATAAATGTGTTGTTTTATCTCTGACTGCTTTTATAATTTCCTATTTATCTTTGAGTTTTGGCAGTTTCACTATAATGTGCGTAGATATGGTTTTATTTGTTTTCGTCCTGCTTGTTTTTCTTTAAAAAAATTTTTTTTGAGCTTCTTGAACTTGTGTGTTTGTGTCTTTTTTGTCAGTCTTAGAAAATTCTTGATCCTTCTTCAAATATTTTGTTCTCTTCTATTTTCTTTTCCTCTCCTTCTAGAAATTCAGACTTTTTGGCTCTATCTCACATCTTTCAAAAATCCTGTATCAGTTTTAAAAATGTGTGTTTCTGTTTGGATTTTCTATTGACCTGTCTTTTAATTCACTAATCCGGTATTCTACCGTGTCCCAACTTCTGTTAAATCTATTCAATGAGTTCTTAATTTCATTTATTATATTTTGCAGTTCTAGAATATCCATTTTATTCTTTTAAAAAGAGATTCTGGTTCTCTGTTGAAATAGTCCATCTGTACATCCATTTTCTTTATTTTTCCTATGTTTTAAAAAATATATAGATCATAATTATTTTGAAGACCTTGAGGGTTTTTTTTCTGCTAACACCAATATTTGGATCTCTCTTTGCCTGCTCCTATTGACTATTTTGTTTATTGGTGAATAGTCACATTTTTCTGCTTCTTCATGTCTAGGACTTTCAAAAACTTTTATGTTGGACATTGTGTATAATATGTTATGAAGATTCCTGATTATTGTCTTTCTCCAAAGAATGTTGAGTGAATTTTATTCTGGCAGGTAGTTGCATGATCAGCGGATCATCTTATTCTTGTGTATGCCTATTTAAGTTTTGCCCTCAGACCTAGTAGGGCTTGATATTACTCCTAAGGTGTGGCCCTTGCTCTTAGGGCATGGCCTCTCAGTGACATCAGCTGAGTTCCACAGCATTCACCAAGTCCTCTCCATTTTGGCTTTGCCAGAACTCTGCCATCTTCTTAGAAGTGTGTGACCTGTGACATCTCTTCACCAATTAACCTCCAAGCTGCTGTTCTTTGCAAGGCTTAGAGTCTTCTACTGTGTCACAGAGCTTATGATTCAGCCAAGGACTCAAGGGACATTTCTAGGACAATATTTGGGCTTTTATTCTCTGCAGCTCTCTCTTCCCTGTTACTTTGTTCCACAAACCCCAGCAGTCTTAGCATCCCTAAACTCCAAGCTCTATTTCTCCATCTAGAAGGACCACCACTTTCAGCTTGGGCTCTATTTTCAGGACCATTATTTGGAAAATGTTTCAGAGAGAAATCCAGGGAAAATGTGGAGCCTGCCTTGTTGTGCATGCTTTTTCTTAAGGACTGTAGCCCTGCACCAGTTATCTTCCAATGCCTGCAAAACATTACTTGTATATATTCTCCCCAGATTCTATAGTTGTCCAACACCAGTGAGTAGGAGTGTGGAAATCTGAGGAGCTGAATACTGAGCTGAGACTTTCAAGGTTATAAAAGAGCAGCAAGGAAGAGCATTCCAGGTAGAGGGAAAAGCGAGTGGCCAGGCCTTGAGGCAGGACAGAGGCTGGCTCATTGGAAAAACAGAAAGTAGTCAGCATGGCTGGATTCCAATGGGCAAGGAGGGGTATAGTATGAGATGAGGTTGGAGAAGCTGTCACAAGTTAGGCTGTAGAAGGCTTGCAGGCCCTTGTTTTGATCTTTTCTAGATGTCATAGGAAGCCATCAGAGGGTTTTGAGCAGAAAGATGTGACCCAATTTATACTGCAAAAAGATCTGCCTGCTCTGAGAACAATGATTTGGGTGAATTGAAGGAGAACAGGTTGAGAGGAGTTGGTGGCTGGATAGCCAAGAGGTGACACTGGGGTTTAGAAATTTGGAGTGAAAACTGGAGCTGGAGTCCATGGGACTTGGTGATGGACAAGAAGTCACCAACACCCGATGTGTTACTCTTTGACCTAAAACCCTCTGTGGCTTCCTACTGCACTGGACATGAGATCCCAGCTTCCTACAGTGAGCAGTGCTCTGGCCCTGAGACCCTCAGGAGCTTCCACTGTTGCTGCTTACACCCCCAGCCTCCGCACTCCATGCTGCCACCTCTACCCTCATTTTTCACCTTCTTCATCCACCCCTCCCTGCACCCAGCTTTCTCCTCTAGGTCTCCTGTTGGGGGGCCTCTCCTCCAGAAAGCTGCTCCCCACCCCCAGGCTGGGTTCTGTGCAGAGATGAGTCAGAGCCAACTCATGTGCATCTCCTCCCAACTCTGCCTTCAATGATACCATTTTGGTAGCTTGTAGTCAGTCATGGTGGGAATATTTACACCATGGAAACTGGCAAATGCTACAAATTGGTACTGTCCCCGCAACCCAGAATGTGGTTGCTATACAGTTGCCACCCCCCAACTGGATGATGTCTCTGTTCAGTGCCCCCTTCAGGTCGTCACAGCCTCCTGGCTTCCCTTTATGAGGCTGTATTGAATGTTAAATTACCTGCCTGTCATTCTCCCCACCAGCCTGAGCTCCTGGAGGGCAGTGTTAGCACCGCCCATCTCAGGCCAGTGTACAGCCAGCACATGTGCTCATGATGTCTGCTAGACAGCAGGAGACTCACTGGGCAGCTCACAGGGCTACTGTGTGGGGTGGTCCCATGGGACAACAGGCTGGTCCCACCTGCACAGCCATTCTCTTTAGAGGATACTTGGGTGCTGTCTGAGGACCCATGGGACAAAGCCCCAGTCCAAGTCACTGCCAGAGGAGGGAGGCAGAGGAGGCAACGTACTTGCCAGAAAGGCCAAGTTGTTTTGAAGTCTTGGAGCTGAATTTTACAGGACCATTCGGAGCACCCATCTGTTCTTGACAGGGCCCAGCCTGTGCATCTTAGGCCCACGTGGTGTATATTTCTATTAATTAAAAATATCTTCTTCTGCTATTGCTTTTTTTTTTCTTTTTTTTTTTTTTTTGAGACGGAGTCTCGCTCTGTCACCCAGGCTGGAGTGCAGTGGCCGGATCTCAGCTCACTGCAAGCTCCGCCTCCCGGGTTCACGCCATTCTCCTGTCTCAGCCTCCCGAGTAGCTGGGACTACAGGCGCCTGCCACCTCGCCCGGCTATTTTTTTGTATTTTTTAGTAGAGACGGGGTTTCATCGGGTTAGCCAGGATGGTCTCGATCTCCTGACCTCGTGATCTGCCCGTCTCGGCCTCCCAAAGTGCTGGGATTACAGGCTTGAGCCACCGCACCCGGCCTGCTCTTGTATATTTTATTACAAGAGAGATGCCCCAGCAGCCATGGAGTTGCCTGGATTATTCCTTCTCCTCCGCTTCTCCCTCATCTCTCTCTCCCAAGCAGGGTAACTTGGGTTCCCCCCCTACCTACCCCTGCTAGGTCGGGATGAGTTTTGGGGGTCTTACAACTCCCAGGGAAGCTACCTTAAAGGAAAAGGGAACTGCCTTCACAAGGGGGAAGGGCGTTTGAGAAGCATCTGAGTTTCTGGGCTCCTAAATCTTCACAAATGGAACTTTCAGCAGTGCTGTTCCCTTCTAAGGCCGCCTTAGCAGCATGAACCAAGAGCTTAAAGATGCTCATGTCGGGCTGGGCGTGGTGGCTCATGCCTTTAATCCCAGCACTTTGAGAGGCCAAGGTGGGTGGATCACCTGAGGTCAGGAGTTCGAGACCAGCCTGACCAACATGGAGAAACCCTGTCTCTACTAAAAGTACAGAATTAGCCGGGTGTGGTGGCACATACCTGTAATCCCAGCTACTCAGGAGGCTGAGGCAGGAGAATTGCTTGAACCTGGGAGGTGGAGGTTGTGGTGAGCCGAGATCACGCCATTGCACTCCAGCCTGGAAAACAAAAGCGAAACTCCATCTCAAAATAAATAAATAAATAAATAAATAAAAATAGACATAAAAAAAGATGCTCACGTTGTTGACCCGGAAATACCCTCTGCTGATCTCAGGGAAAGCGTCAGAGGTATGTCCAAATATTTATGTACAGGGGTCTTTGTCACAGTTCCAATTATAACAGCAAAATGTTAGAATAATCTGAGTGTTCAGCACGGCCACAGGAGGCTGCATATACTAATAACAGCATTTTCAACATTATTTGGTAATATGGAAAAACGCCCAGGACATGGTGTTAAGGGAGAAAAGCAGAAAACAAAAGAAATATATCGTATTTTAAATTTTATATAGAAAAATATGTTAATATGTATGTTTATGTATGCTTCTGTGTATGTATGTGAGTTATTTAAAAAAATAAGAATTTAGACTTCAAAACCATTTGGGGGCAGTAGCACCTCTCCCATTTTGCCACACTTCCCACAATGCAAAGCCGGCCTCTTCCCTCTCACTGTCCTCCCTCCCAGAATTTCCCTTTGGCATCTGAATGAAACCCGCTACTCTCACGTTAGATCCAAGAAGAGTAAGAGGCAATTGTGTATTGATTTAAGAAAAGTGCCTGTGGGAGATATAGTGTCTTCTGTTTTATATAAATGTATTACGCTTTAGCGTAATAAGCATCTCATAATTTGATTGGAACATTCAATTTCACTCATCACCCTGTTTCAGTATAACAGTGACTGGCATCTATTACAGCAGATTCTGGAATGCCACCCCACTGCACATATTCTTGAAGCTAATATTCCACGCTGTTATGCTGTTATTCTGGGACTCTCCAGGCCCTCCCCAACGTGCCCCTCCGGAAACCAAGCAGAACCACCCACTCTTATACATGCACATGTCGAGGGGCTTAGCAGGAAGTCTGCAGAAAATCTATGGATAATAAAGCTTCTGCAGGATAATCGGATTGGGAGTGATTTCTGCTACCCTATTTTCTAAAACTGTTTTACTGTAAGGGAAATGTAAGTGGGGAAAAAAAAAAAACAAACTAAGGAGTGGGGAAACAGGTACAGTTTGTTGGCTAAGGCAAATTGTTTGGAAGATAACCTAACAATTTCTTTCAAATCCGTGCGTTCCGCAGCCCCAGGACTCAGAGGCGGAGGTTACTGAGGAGGATCCCAGGCTGCGCGCCCAGCAGCTCCATCACCGGGTGCTGACCCTGCAGTGCCAGCTCCGGGACCAGGGCGCTGCCCACCAGGCATCTCGGGACGAGGCCGCCCGCCTCCAGGAGGAGCTCCAGACCAAGGTGTGGGAAGCCCTTTCTTTCCCCTCTTGTCAGTCAGGGCTCCCACACCCCAGGGCGTTTGGGGAGTGGATAAGGACGAACTGAGCGCTCCCTCACCCTTCCAGCCGGTTGGGAGCGGGTACTGGATTATTTATTTATTTATTTATTTATTTATTTATTTATTTATTTATTTTTATTATACTTTAAGTTCTAGGGTACTGGATTTTTAAAGTATAGGACAGTACTAGGAAGGAAAACACAGACTCTATGATCCCTTCTCTGTTAAATTTAAAAATGCACATATGCGGTTTCTTTAAAAAGTCAAGCAGGTTTACAGTGTCATATAAATAAAAGTCAAAGCCCTTCCTCTGTCGGAGGGAAGTGGATGTGTCCATGACACGGCGGTGCAGATGCAGAAGTATACAGGTACCAGAATTGCACAGAATTTAACACGCAGATGCACACGCGTAAAACTGGAGAGAGCTGAAAAAGCTCAGTGAATTGCGGCCATTTCAATTCCTGGTTGTGATATGACACTATAGTTTTGCAAAATATTCCCACTGGGGGAAACTGGGCAAAATGTACAAGGGTGCACTCCAGCCTGGGTGACAGAGCAAGACCCTGTCTCAAAAAACATGTACGAGAGAGTTCTCTGTATTGTTTCTTACAACTCTCTGCAAATCTTAATCATCTAAATTTTTTTAAATAAAAAATATAAAAGCTTTCCTTCTTCTCAACCTCAACCTTTTCTGACTTCCAATATTTTTTCAGCCCTGTCTACCCACTTTCTGAATGTGTGTAGATGTGTACATGTTTGAAATTATACTGTACAAAACTATTCTGCATCTTCATTTTCTCATTTAAGAATCTTATGGTATTTTCATATCAGCACATACAAAGTGACCTCATTCATTTAAAATCGTGTGTATTATGTCATCATGAGGCCAAATCATAACTTGTTTAATCAAGTTTTTTTGTTGGTGGAAATTCAAGTTGTTTCCATTTCTTTGCATTATAAACGCAGCTTCAATGAACACTTTTATCTCTCAGCATATACATCTGCTGTATATCTAAATGGAAAATTTCCAGCAAAACAAAGGATGTATAAATCATTAACTGTGATAGGTAATGGCAAATAATCCTCCAAAATGATAGCATCGTTTTACTATCATTTTGGAAACAGGTCTACTCATTTGCCTATAACTTGTTATCCTGAATGTTAGCAACTTCACAATTTTTGGACAAGTTGATAGTTGAAAAATACAGCCTCAGCATTACAGTATAATTTCTGGCTCTTCTCCCATGTGTTTTTTGTAAGATCAAAGCATGTTATATGTAGAGTTTTACGTTCATTTCTCCATGTGGCTGCATAGTCCTCATACGTGTGACTGTTTGTGTAGTAATCTATGATTTTTTGTCTATGATTGACTGTGTAGTAATCTATTGGGTGGATGTGGTTTCCTTAACTATTCCCCAATTGTTGCATCTAGAGCTATTTCTATGAACTTACAGATAACTGTTTATATATAACAGTTCAGAGAACTGGGACTACTGGCTCCAAAGGTGGGAATATTGTTGAGTCTTAGCTACGTATCACAAATTGCTTTCCAAAGTGGTGGTATCCACTTCCATGCCACCAGCAATACATGAGTGTGTCTCGTTCACTGTATCTTCAACCAACAGAAGAGCTAGTATTGCTTTTTTCTCTTATCTGTCACTGGCCTGTGGGGAGGGGGTGTGTGTGGAAACTTCACTTACACATGAATTAGACTTTAAGTATATTTTAAATTATTTTCATTCTTTTTTCCTTCTGCTCAGTTTCAGTATTTCCTTCAAATCTCTCTTCCAGCTAAATAGTACTCTTTGGATGAATCCAATTTGCTCTTAAACTCACTTTAGTTCTAAATTTCAGTTCGTCTATTTTGCAGGTTGAGAATTTCCCTAGGATTCTTTTTCGCAGTTCTCAGTTTTATGATGAAATTTTTGTAATATAATTCCTGAACATCTCAATCGCAGTTGCTTTAAAGAGGAAGAGTGTCTCTGATAACTTTATTTCATGTTCTCACCAGCAGTGTAGGAAGGTTCCAACTTTTCACCCTCACTAGCATTTGCTACTAGCTGTCTTTTTAAATCATAGACATCCTAGTTAGTGGGAAATTGTCTTTCATTGGTTTTGAGTTGTATTTTCTGATGGCTAATAATGTGGAACATCTTTTCACGTGCTTACGGGTCATTTGTATGTCTTATTTGAAGAAGAGTTTATTCAGATTCTTCCCGTTTTTCTAATAGGGTTAATTGACTCTCTTTTTGTTAAGTTGTGAGAGTTCCTTTTATGTTCTAGATAGAAGTCCTTTATTAGATATATGATTTGCAAATATTTCCTCCAATTCTGTAGGTTATCTTTTTAATTTCTTCTCGTTCGCTTTTTGATTGCAAATGCCCAATACTTCTCTCACTGTGGCATATTTATGTTATTTCCTAAACTGAAGCAGACAGAAGGTTTAATCCAAGCCTGCAAATATGATTGAGTGCCTTTTGAATATAAGACAGTCTGCTTAAAGCTGGAATTTTACTCTTTGAATATATTAGGAATGGTGTGCCAAAAACAGATACATGGAAATGTTCACTGAAATCTTGTTTGTAAAACAAAGAAACAGAACTAATATAAATTTCCATAAACAAATTGAAGTCAAATCAATTTGTTTCGGCTTCGTGATTAAATAATATGCAAGATTTTAAAAGAATGAGGTCAGTTTCTATGTGTTAATATGAAAATAGCACCAAAATTTTTGTATCACATACAAACTGAGCTCATTCTTTTAAAATCTTGCATATTATTTCATTATGAAGCAAGATGCAAGATCTTTTGCGTAGTATAATTTCATATACACACATTCTGACCCATATGGGTATGTTGGTCAGAAGAGGTTGGGGATGAGGAAGAGGCTTGTGGCTTTTTATTTGATTTTTTTAGCTGACTACAAAGGGACTGAGAGAGTTAGAAGAACTCACACAACACCTGCTTTGTTGTGTCTTATGGCTCAGGAATTCAGACAGGACTCGGCCAGGCTGTTCCGCCCTCCAAGGGATCAGTGGGCATGACTCAGTGGTATCCAGCTGGATGCCAGGCTTGGCTGGGGGATCCCTGGCGGCCTCACTCACGTCCTGGCCCCTCTGCAGGGTGGCGGAAGGCAGCCCCCACCGGTGCCTTCCCTTTTTCTGTCATGTCTCACAGTCTCCCCAGTGGGCACTTGGGATTCTTAAATCCTGGCTCAGAAACAGAAGAGACCCAAAGTAGAAGCTGCCATTCCTCTTCAAGGCTGGACCCACAAAGGCCCCAGGGCCACTTCCACTGCATTCTGTGAGTCAAGGCTTCTCAGGCCAGCCCAGATCTGAGGGAAGAGGATAGGAACCCCCTCCACGGAGAGCAGTCTCAAAGAATCTGTGTCCAGCTTTCATCTGCCCCTAATAGTAACATGAGTTTATTGATCACTGACAGATGCCAGGGCTTGTTCTAAGCACTTTACATGGATGGGTTCACTGAATCCTCACTACAGTTCTCACCAGCGGGGGGGGCACTCATACGAGCCCCCTTCACAGATGAGAAGACTGAGGCAGAAAGAGTGTCTTGCACAAGATCTCAGTTCCAGCGACTGGCTGAGCCAGGATTAAGGACCCCTGGTGTCTGGCTCAGGAACTTGTATATTTACCACAAGACCGGAAAACTGTCAGGCTGCTTGGAGACTCAGAAGAGAGCTTGGAGTTGGCCCTGGCCACTGTAGCTGGGCAGAGCTGATTCTTGAGTATTCAGAACATCTGTCCTCCCGTGATCCTGCCAGGCAGGTGGTGGGAAAGGCCCCTGTTCCCAGCACTGAGTCCCCATGAGGGTAAAGAGGGCAGGCAACTGCCAGCTGCTCTAAGCCCGGCTTGCCTGGGGAAACTCTGGACAGTGGTAAATGACAGTGCAGTGTTGTCAAAAATGTTGATTTCATTTCAGCTTGAAGAACTTCAGAAAAAGCAACATGAAGCAAAGTTGGCGGTGACTCCCCTGAAGGTAATATGTCCATAAAATCAATATGAAATGTGTCTTTCAAAACAGGGAGCTTAGTATTTTTCCTATTAGACATGTAATCCAGCTCTATTGTATAAAAGTTGGGATAGGGCCAGGTGTGATGGCTCACACCTGTAATCCCAGCACTTTGGGAGGCTGAGGCGGGTGGATTGCTTGAGCTCAGAAGTTTGAGACTGGCCTGGGCAACATGGTGAAACCCCATCTCTACAGAAAACACAAAAATTAGTTGGGCGTGGTGGCGTGCGTCTGTAGTCCCAGACACTTGGGAGGGCGGAGGTGGGAGGATTGCTTGAACCCAGGAGGTCAAGGCTGCAGTGAGCTGAGATCACGTCACGTTCTCCAGCTTGGGCAACAGAGTGAGATCCTGACTCAAAACAAAACGAAACAAAAAAACTGGAAAGAATGAAGGAGACAGAAAGCAGCAGCCCTTGCTTGCACATGGCATTTCCATGTCTTTTCTTTCGGTGTGTTTCCCATGTGTTTGAGAGCCTACGATGTCTGTACGTTTGCCTCCTGCTGTTCCCACTCGATGGGGTGACCTAGGAGGTGAAGCGCGAGACGCCTTGGTTCATAAAATCGTCACCACTGCACTGTGTGCTCAAGCACCTTCCTTTCTATCTCGCTCTCTCTTTTGTATCATTAATTGTATATAAACACTGTGATGCACTTTTTTTTTTTTTTTTTGAGATGGAGTGTCGCTCTGTTACCCAGGCTGTAGTACAATAGTTCGATCTCAGCTCACTGCAACCTCTGCCTCCCGGGTTCAAGTGATTCTCCTGTCTCAGCCTCCCAGGTAGCTGGGATTACAGGCGTGCACCACCATACCCGGTTAATTTTTGTATTTTCAGTAGAGATGGGGTTTTGCCATGTTGGCCAGGGTGGTCTTGAACTCCTGACCTCGTGATCCACCCCCTCTCGGCCTCCCAGAGTGCTGGGATTACAGGCGTGAGCCACTGTACCTAGCCGATGTACAGTTTTTCTCAGAAAGGTTTTCTCCACATATCTAGACATTTATGTTTAAGATCAACTCCAGGAAATGTCATTACTCGCCCACTGGGTTTAATATGTTCTTTGCTAGCAGGACACAGAATTTGGTTAAGGTAACACATTTCATCTTGAACATGGGCCTGGATCTGGGAGAAGCTGGGGGCTCTGCTCTTTCTTTCTGGTCTCTGGGCAGAGTGGAGAGGGAGGTGCCCTGGGCTGGGCATCAGCAGAACCCGGTTACGCCCTGGACTCCCACTGACCTGCAGAGTCATCCTCCCTCTGGGGCCTCAGTTTCCTCAGCCGTCAAATCAGAAACATGAGCCACACAGTTCCTAAAGTTATTTGCCACCCCACATTTCCGTGTCTGTCTGAGCCTCGAGTTGGCGCCTGTAAAATGAAAATCATCATAATTCCTGCCGAGCCTCTGCAGACGTGGTAGCTGGGAAGGTGCAGAGCAGACCGTGAAGCTCCCGCATGCAAGGCTTCCCTCCTCCTCCCTGTCATTGCCATCATTTGCTGGGGAGCGTTTCTTTAAATGAAGACCACAATCCCTTATAAAGTGCTATCTAAATGTGAGATAAGGATAGAAACACGACACTTGGTAGGTGCCTCCCTGCCCCATCTCCTTTTATCCTGGTGTCCGTGACAACCCCCATTGTACAGACGGGCAAGTCGAGGTGCAGAGGGGAGCTTGCTCACAGAGCTGGTCCGTGGTGGGGCCCAAATCCATGCTCTCGATCCCTGCTGCCTTGAGCCTAGACCATGGGGAGGGCAGTGGGGAGCCCCTGGGTGTGTGTGGCCGTCTGCTCCGAAAGCAGCCTGGCTTCTGGGTACAGGGAGGCGTTGCAGGGAGAAGCCTGCTCCGCTGAGCGGAGGGAGAGTTGGGGATGGTGAGTTGGGGATGGTGAGAAGTAGGGGCCTCAGCTGACCCTCCGGCCCCCAGTCCCCCAGCTCAGCCACACAGCCCTGGTGGTAGCTCTGCATCCATGGCCTCCCTCCCTTTCAGGCCAAGATAGCTTCCCTGGTCCAGAAGTGCCGGGAGAGGAACCGCCTGATCACCCACCTGCTGCAGGAGCTGCACAGACATGGGCTGGAGAACCTCCCGCTCTCTGAGCTGGCACAGAACATGCTCAACGACGTGGCACTGGCTGAGTACGCGGCCACCTTCCTGGCTCCGGGAGTCCCAGAGGTAGAGTCCCAGAGACGACCCTGTCTCTGCTTCCTATGGGGTGTGGACACGTCCCTTGCATGCCCCTGCCTGGCCCGAACAGCCCCTCCTTTCCTCCCTGTCTCCATCCACGGACACGGCTTTTCCTCTGTGCCCGTGCCCACGCCCTGGGTGGTCATGGGAAGGTGCATCTGGCAATACTTACCCTTTACAGTGCTCAGGAAATGGTGCAGTGCACAGATGCAAACCGTGATTGTAATTTAGCATCATACAAGCTTCACTGCATGTGTCACAAGATGGATCTTTTGTGCCGGGACCTGTGCACTGGCCACTTCCTCTGGCGGGTTGCTTCAGTCACCCCAGGACCTCCTGTCCATCCTTCAAGGTACAGGTATGACCTTGCCCAGGCAGCCTGCTCTGAGCCCTGCAGACCAGAGAGTTAGCGACAGCCTCCCCTGTGCTCCATTGCACGTGGCTGCACATGACGGGGCATGAGCAGGGAGCTCTCCCGGCTGTTGCAGGAGTTTGCGGGCCGCTCTCCGGTGGGCCCAGAGCCGCTCCATAGCCATCTTTGTCTTCCCAGTGCCTGGCTCTGAGAATCTGCCACAAACCTGGAAGAATGTTTGTTGAATGAATGAAATAATGAACCAAATGAATGAGAATCTCCTCTTCCAGTGGTCAACAAAAGAGGAAATTGAGGCCAGAGAGGTTAGGAGATGTGCTCCGGGTAACACAGGCAGTGCAAGTAGAGATGAATGCCAGCTCTCTTGACTGCAGTCGGCACCCATGGGTGCCCAGCCATGCCTGCCCACACACATACATGCAGCCCCGTTCCTGGGGACAAGCCAGCAACGCCCCTGCCAGACCGTCTCCGCTCCTTATGTACGCGGGTGAGACGCAGCTCCCACGGTAAACACAGCCAGGGCTGTTTTCCACGGTCCCTCCAGGCTCTGCCTATGGGACTTGCTCTCAGTCCCTCGGCACCAGGTCTGAGCCTCCCTCTACAGCTCTGCCCAGCCTGGTCTCTGCAAGGCCAACCTCCTCTGACCCTTCCTTTCCCTCACAGCCTTCAGAGGTCCTTTCTGGTCCAAATCATTGCACAGCAGAGATGGAGGCCTGGAGGCCAAGAGGCATGTTCAGGGCCATTTGTTGACTCGGTCCATAGGCAGAACTTGAATCCAGAGCCCCAAGCTCCCAGTCTCTTGTTCTTCTCTTTGCCCAAGGGGTACAAGACTCCTTCAGAACTAGAATAGGGGTGAGAAAAGAGAGCAGAATTTTGTCAAAGTGCCTTCATAGTCCTTGAGATCCACTACAGACCTGATATCTGGGGGTTAAGTGAGATAAAACTGAAAGCAGGCTGGGTACGGTGGCTCACGCCTGTAATCCCAGCACTTTGGGAGGCCAAGGCAGGCGGATCACAAGGTCAGGAGATCGAGACCATCCTGGCCAACATGGTGAAACCCCATCTCTACTAAAAATACAAAAATGAGCCAGGTGTGGTGGTGCATGTCTGTAGTCCCAGCTACTCAGGAGGCTGAGGCAAGAGAATCTCTTGAACCCGGGAAGTGGAGGTTTCAGTGAGCCGAGATCACACCACTGCACTCCAGCCTGGTGACAGAGCAAGACTCTGTCAAAAAAAAAAAAAAAAAAAAATTGAAAGCAGAGTTCCAGGTTGTGAAAGTATCAAATAGCAAATGCAGCTGGTGTCACCCTGGAAGGCAAGCTGTCTGTCTGCTGAGGGGACATCATAGCAGTGGCCCACCTTCCAAGGGCTGCTCCCCACTCTCATAGGCCATGGAGCTAGAATTGAAATGTTCACTGGGGTTGGATAGACTGACTTACAATGACCAAACTCACAGAGAATGATGTATATACTGGAACATTAATTTTTAAGTTTCCTATGAGAAATAGAACTATTACGCAGGTTGAAGTATCTGATGGATGACTGAAAACTTGTCAGCATATTCTCTCCCGATAGTAGAATTATCTGGAAAATCAAATTTTTTCATTCATTTCTTCATCTGTCACTTGAGTGCCCAGAATGAGAGCAGAGAGAGTTATTATAATAATGTCATCGGGCGGATTCATTCTTCTCCTATAAGGATGTGCTTCTGGGCCCGGACATGCTTCCGTGGACCAGGGTATCCCTGACAGACCTTTTGAAAGTGAAAAAAAAGTATGATGTGTTTCAGAAATTCAGAGAACTGCAGGCTGCAGAGTGATCCCCAGGGGAGGAGTGGGGGGAGGCTGGGCTGATGGGAAGCCATGGGGAGGAGTGGGGAGAGGCTGGGCTGGATGGGAGGTCACAGGCACCTGTGCCCCGGCGGGGTGTCTGCATCTCAGTTCTTAGTGGAGAGCAGGGTGGGAGTGGCGTTGGCAGCTCCTCCTACTGGTAGCCAGGCAGGAAGCGGATCCAGTGCTGCTTGCTTGATGGACAGTAACTCTCGATTCAGAGGACACAGATGGAATTCCCGATGGAGGCCTTTGGGCTCTGGATAGGAGCCCAGGAGGACTGCCAGGATGGCTGAGGAGACTCTGATGGGCTGGAGGTGGGAAGTGCCAGAGCAGCAAGGGACAGGTCCTGGGAACTCCAGCCAGGCAGTGGAGGGTTGATGTACCTTCCAGGAACACCCCTGGAGGGTCCTGGGCTCCTGGTGCCCACAGTGTCCTGAGACGCTCCCATTCTCTGGCCCCTACCTTTGGGACGGGGGCATGGGCTGGGCTAGGGTCCCAATTGGACAGGCTGCCTTCATTTATCCAGCCAAGCCACGCTGCCCTCCGACTCGCACGCTCTCCCTGGATCTGCTTACTCCACCTTCCCAGCATCCTGCTGCAAGGGTCCACAGGGGACCCTGAGCCTCAGCACGTCCCAGGGCTGTTGAGGGGGTGGGGGCTGGGCCTCGGGCTGGGGCCACTAAGCTCTACCCTTTCAGGAGGAGGTGGCGTGGCCTGGTGCCCATGCAGGCAGCCGTCGGTGAACACCTTCCCTCCCCGCACGTAACTGAATCTTTGTATTTCCATTTTCTTTGCTTGTCCTGGTTTGGGTGGGTGGTGGAAATTGAGCCTCAGTCGGTTCAGCCCCAGTGCCCTTTCCACAGGCATGTGGCGATGGGCTGGGGGCCATGGGTGCTGGCGCCGCCGTCTGTGCTGGCATCTGCTGTTGTACCGTCCGGGTCACTAGCATCCATGGGTCACCCTTGTATCTGCCCTGGCTTCCTTCCTCCTGCTGTGCTGATTCTCTCCAGCTCAGGTGCCTGTTCTGGAGATGGAGGGAATCCCACGGGGTCAGGCTGGCCATGGCAAAAGTCACTTTTCCTTCTGCTGGGAACACAGGTCTTGCCACCTCCCTGATGTTAGCTGGAGATGGGCCCTCAGGGAAGGCAGGCTCCGGCTGTTCTCAGATTCCCAAAACCTCTCTGGAGTTCTTAATTCCACCTTGTCCCCTGGACGCCTTGAGTGAGCAGGGCTCAGGGCACCTTGCTGGGCCTGTTTTGCTTCCTCTCCTATGCCCCCACCGACCCCTAGCCCCAGGGGGCCTTTTATTTTTCCTGTGTTTTGCCTGGACCTAGTCTGTTGATATTCACAAGCGTGAAATGAGACACCTCTGCTGTCTGTACTCGGTTACCCTGTCCCTGAGACCTTGGAGGCAGAGGCCCGGGTACCAAAGGAAAGGAGAAGAGGGGTGCCGGGGCTCACCTGGGTCACAGCACTGGCTAGGATGGCAGCTGGCTCTCCTGCCCACCCCTAGGGTCTGACCTGAGGTCCAGTCTATAAACAGAAGTTCCCATCAGAGAACAGAGGACTCCCGAGCTTCCTGTGCTCCTAGGGGTGGTTTCCTGTCCTCTCTCTGGGCACGGAGATTCACCAGCAGATGATGACACCTTCATTCTCAATAATTACCCATCTCATGAACTTGGCACTTGCCCTTCACCTGCCTAAGCCACCTGTCGTCTTCGGCCAGGTGGAGGCTGCTGTCCCCCCATGGGGCTCTGTGAGGTTTGAATAAGACCCCATGTCAGATGCCTGGCACCGCACCTGTCACACACAGGCACCCAACAGCTTTTGGGGCACCTCCAAGCAAACCCTCAGTTTTGCTCCCCTGGGAGCAGCCAGGGGCCTTGGGCACACTAGCAGGGGAGAGTCATCCGGTCGGGGCAAAGAGGTAGGTGACCTAGTAAGGAAGATGCTAATTTTACCTCCTCTCGCCCTGCTGTTTCCTCCTCCTGCCACCTCCTGCTTTCCTCTGGGTATTTGTCAACGAGATCTAGTTGCGGGCCTTTGGAAATGGAATCTGGTCTAAAAAAGGGGCAGTCACACTCAGATGATTGAAGAATTGTCCCTCAAAACCCTGAACTCCCCCAATTCATTAAATCTGCAAATCCCCAAGCCTGGGCCTCCAAGGATCCAGGCAATTATTTTCTCTTTAACTCCTGCCTTTATGGAACTTAGAATATTCCCCTAAAAGTCTGCGTGGGGAGAGAGGCAGGGCTCGGGAGAGTGTAGCACAAGTCTTCATCTGTCCCTTACTCTGTGTCACTGGCATTTAGTGGACGTTCCTTCTCATCTCATTCTGGTGGACTCCTACAAAGAACATATTGGTCCTGTATTTCCGCAGATGGAGAGGGTGAGGCTCAGAGAACCCAACTGACTTGGCCAGGATCACGGAATCAGTGAGTGGCAGAGCCAGGACTCAGTCTGAGAAAGCCCAGCTCTGCCTCTCACACAGCCCCTCTCCAGCCACTCCAGGCCCATGTGGTAGTTGAGGAGCTGGAAGCAGACAAGGGTCCTTGCACCCCAATCACATACTGAATGCAGGGCCACCCAGAAGTCAGTTGAGTGCACCTGAGGCTGCTCTGCCGGTGTATCCTCTACGAAGGCAAACAGAACCTCAGTCTCGCATTGAAGGAGCCTCTATCTAATGAGGAGACACCTGACTCTAAGCCCAGGGGCAATAAAAGGCATTCATTCAAAGCGCTGGAAATAAGCAGAGAGGAGAGAGAGACAGACTCCAGGAGGAGGAAGCACTCAGGCCAGGCCTTGAAGGACAGAAAGCAGGACTTAACAGCTGGAAGGATGGAGTGAAGGTCTCAAGGCTGTGAGACCTGCTTGGGCACAGGCACGGGGGTGGGAGAGTCCATGGTGCTTGAAGCCACAGCAGTGTTGATACGGGCGACAGCAAAGTGCTCTAAGAGCACCGTTCAGGAGCAGGCATTGTGCCTGGTACCGAAGGTTCCCAGGAGTGCTGGTGTGATCTGGTCACTACCAGAAGACGGCTGAGCCATTACCCATGTCCCTGAGTATTAGGCCCTGCACCAGTCAATTCAGGTTAGAGGGGACTCTCACAGAGCCCAGGTGCCGCTGCAGCAGAGGAGGAGCTGTGTGAGAGGCAAGTGGCTGAACTCTGCCAGGTGGAGTCAGGGAAGACTTCTCAGAGGAGGCAACATTTGACTTGGGCCTTGACATCTATGTAGAAGTTCACCAGAGACCGAAAGAGAGGGCAGGGCCCTTCCAGACATGGAGATGGCCTCCTATACCTGGAGGAAGAGTGTGACCAGGGTGTTGGAAGTGGAGACAGGGAAGACAGTTATCGCAGCAGCACTGCACACAGGCCCCTGCCCCCTCGGAAACACCCAGGAGGAAGCGAGATCCAGGCTGCCGGTCTGGAAACAACTCTCACCTGCCTTGAAGATGCAGCAGTTGTTCTTGCTCAACCACCTAGGGGCCGTGGGCCAATCCATTGAGTGATCGTTGCCATCTCACTTCTCACCCGCCCCGTGCAGCCCGGAACCAGGAGGACACTGGTCTGTGCGGTGGTGCACTCAGACCCAAGCCCGACCTGAATTCCTGGGTGATTGAATCAGGGGCCCCAGGGGAGACATCAGAGCGCCGGATGTCCTCATTAAAATGTTTTTTAATAGCGGTTTCTAAAGCACTTTTATTACCGTCTCCATTTGGAGATTTAATTTGAGAAAAGGAAATGGAATCATTTTTCTGTGCCCGTGTTTCCTAAGAACAAAACCAATTCCTGTTCTCCTTCGAGCATCCTGGAGAGAAGAGGAGGGAGGTCTTCACGCACACAGGCAGGGCTGGTCCTACACAGAATGCAGTTTTTTCGGGGAGGGGTGATGGCCCTGCTTGGCCCAGTTGCCGTCCACTGTGCAAGGCTGTCCCTCCAGTGCCACGCGGAATAACTGCCAAGATGTCTTTTCTTGCAGACAAGCCACCACCTGGACATCAAGTCTGAGATGACGGCAGCTCTAAGAGGTCAGTGTGATTTTTGATCAGGAAAAGCGTGTGTACTCAGAAATAAGTCCAGGCCAGCAGGACGCTGTGACTGGTGGGCCAGGGGGGAGATGCCCACTGTCACGTTCATGCTACTAAAAGGAATGGGACCCACTTCTCCCTCCCCCTTTCCTGTGTGGCGTTGTCTTCTTATTTCACAATGAGAACACACTGGAAAAATACAAACGTTCAAATTCCTCAGCGCTAGAGTTTCACTCCTGGAAACTCATCCTAGGTAGATAATTCTGTATGTTCCTGCTAGTGCATCTACAATAGTGAAAAACTGGGGGAAACCCTCAATATTGTTAACGAGCCCATATAATCAGTGAAATACAACATAGTCATTAAAATGGTACTGAAAAACGCCATGCAACAGCATGGGAATTACCATGTTCTACTGAGTTTAAAACTGTTAGGATACGGGCCAGGCATGGTGGCTCGTGCCTGTAATCCCAGCACTTTGGGAGGCCGAGGAGGGCAGATCACAAGGTCAAGAGATTGACACCATCCTGGCCAACATGGTGAGACCTCGTCTTTACTAAAAATACAAAAAGTAGCCAGGCGTGGTGGCGGGCGCCTGTAGTCCCAGCTACTCGGGAGGCTGAGGCAGGAGAATTGCTGGAACCCGGGAGGAGGAGGTTGCAGGGAGCCGAGATCATGCCACTGCACTCCAGCCTGGTCAAAGAGTGGGATTCCATCTCAAAAAAAGAAAAAAAAAAAACTGATAGGCTATGGAATGTTTCGTATAATTATAACTGTATGATTCTATGTGCACGTCTGGGTCTGATCTGCAACTTAGGCTAGGGCAGCAACTAAAGTACTAGCCATGGTTACTCAGAGAGATGGTAACATGAGTGCTTTTTTTTTTTGGTTCTGTTATTTTTATTATTCATTTATTTATTTATTTTTGAGATGGAGTCTCGCTCTGTCACCCACGCTGGAGTGCAATGGCGTGATCTCGGCTCACTGCAACCTCCACCTCCTTGGTTCAAGCAATTCTCCCACCTCAGCCTCCCCAGTAGCTGAGATTACAGGCACCCACTATCATGCCTGGCTAATTTTTGTGTTTTTGTAGAGACAGGGTTTCTCCATGTTGGCCAGGCTGGTCTGGAACTCCTGACCTCATGTGATCTGCCTGCCTCGGCCTCCCAAAGTGCTGGGATTACAGGTGTGAGCCACTGCGCCTGGCCTATTTTTATTATTAAAAAGAAAATTAAGCCACTACCTGACCAGACAGAATTTTCCTGGGCCTTCTTTTACTTCTTTTTATTTCAATAGTTTTGGGGAAACAGGTGGTATTTGGTTGGGTCTTGTTTAAGCGCAGCTTACTACCCGCAGCGTGGGGGTGGAATGGGGGTCCCAAGGATTTGTTTAGTGTTGTGTTTGGATCAGGTGCTTGATAAAAACATGTAGAACATCTGGATGGTGTTACCTTTAAGACCGAGCTGCTATTGAGATCTGTTCATCTAGTGGTTCTTATTTCTAGATTCTATTCTTGCCAGCTGTGTGGTCTTAGATGAGTTCATTAACCTCTCTGAGCCATACACTCTTTAACAGGAGGAAAACATGACCTTCCTCTGGAATGTCTGGCCCCTGGCACATAGCATGATGTCAGTACACAAGCAGAGAAAACTGTTCTCAGTCTTTGACGCCTCAGGATGGGCCTGTCCTTCTCTACCTTGGCCTTCTGTCCCTACACCCTGACTTGGCACCTGTTCTCACAGTTGGAGAGGCACAGATCCCAGCTGGTCTGCTTCTGTCACTAATTTTCTCTCTGTGGCCCCGGGCAAGTCTCCTCCCCTCTCTGGCTCAGCTTCATCCCCTTTCGAAGAAGGACATGTACTAGACCGATTGGGTTATTTTTTCACTGGACATGTCTGGAGGGCCACCATGTGCCAGATCCCACATAGGTGTTTCTGGGCTTACGAAGCTAAGCCGGCTTGCGCAGGCTGTGGTCCCTGCATGGAATGAGCTTGCAGCCAGGTAGGGGAAGGCGAGGCAGGCAGGCAGATTTCTGGGATGTTCCAAGATCATGAGAGCACCATCAGAGGCGTGTGGGTGACATGCTTGGAGAGCTCAAAGGCCTCTGAGAGGGCCTCTGCCCCGGGGCATGGGATCTAGGAATGATCTGGGAATGGCTAGAGAGTGAAGAAGGTTATGGCAGGGCCCAGACACTTGTAGACTTTTCACCTAGGTTCCTGGGTGGAGGCTTGACTGAGAATTTTCCCTTCCAGCTCAGACATACCTCTTGAATCCTGAAATGGACAGTGTCCTCCAAAGCTCATCATCTTCAGAGTCCTGGCCTGTTCCCGAGCCGGAGTGGCCAGCACAGACAGCCCAGCTGGATTCTCTGAAGGTGAGAAGGCACCTGTCACCTCATTTCCTAAATGAACTTTGTTATTGAAAGTACAACACATGTACAGCTTAGCAAATTATCCAAGCGATATACACCTGGAAAGACAGCACCAAGTCAAGAAATAGAACACAACCCACTCCCCAGCAGCCCCCCAGGTTTCACCCTCAGTCTCTTTCTATGGTCTCATTTCAATGTTTGTTTCTGGTCAAATCATGTGTCCTAGGTCTGGTGACTTTTTTTTTTTTTTTTGCTCTGTTGCCCAGGCTGGAGTGCCGTGGCACGATCTTGGCTCACTGCAGCCTCTGCCTCCTGGTTTCAAGTAATTTTCCTGCCTCATCCTCCCAAGTATCTGGGGATTACAGGTGCCCAACACCACACCCAGCTAATTTTTGTATTATTAGTAGAGATGGGGTTTCACTCTGTTGGCCAGGCTGGTCCCAAACTCGTGACCTCGTGATCTGCCCACCTTGGCCTCCCCAAGTGCTGGGATTACAGGCGTGAGCCACCACTCCCGGCTGTCTGGTGACTTTTAGTGGATGCTGGACCTCGTGTATGAAACATTGACGATACAGTTTGAGGCCTGACAGTATCTCCATCCACAGAGGACTTCCTTTGTTCTGGTCAGGGCAGATCATCTTCCTCACACCAGGGCTGAGTCGACGAGGAGTTCCAGTGCTCAGGAGGTCTGCTGCGTTTCTGCTTCACGCTCACTCCTAGGGCATAAAAGCCTGTCGAGTATTTCAGAGCCCTTTCCCCTGCTGGACCGAAGAGGCTGCTCAGAGCTCTCATTAGCGTTTCACCTTCTCAGTTGGCTCTTTCCTGCACAGACCCTGCCTTCACCTCGAGGGGAAATACGTCCTCAAGTGTCCTGCCCGCTTTTCTTGGCTTCTCTTCTGTTTTCAATTTTGGTCCCACAAGTCCTCATATCCTTGGTAGCTCTCAGATGGCTCCAGACAAATGTTTTGCTACAGTCCCCCTAGCTTTTCTAGTTGCCCTTACTGCAGGTTTGGCCCTGAAGATCCTAATCAGTCATTGCCAGAGCAGCACTCCCCTCTGTCTTCCCAGAGAAAACTTATTTTACTTATGAGCTTTGGAGTCTGGCAGATCTGAGTTCAAGTCCCAGTCCTACCCCTTTTTAGTTCCGTGTGACGTTGGGCAAGTACTTCCTCTGCCTGCACGTAACTCTCAGCTGTGAAATGCGGCTGCCTGTCTGTTACTGTTAGGAGGAGAAATCAGGCAGGCAGAGCTGAGTGTGTGCCTGGCACATCAGAGGTGCTCACAGAAAAAAAAAAAAAAAACAGAAAGCAGCCGTTACTCAGAAGGAAAACTGCTCTTATTTTATTTCAGCTGATTGTATTTTTTCTCCCTTCTTTTATCCCTATGGCTTCTTTCCTGCCTCCATGATTACATTAATTCATTTTATCTAAAAGATGAAAGAGACAATAATATTTACCTCGCAGACTTGTTGGGACAGTTCAGTGAAATCATGTATATGAAGTATTTATTACAGTTCCTGGAATCAAAAATAGGGGAGGTATTAAAAAAAATGATAGCGATTGTTATTGACCTTAAACTTTTTTTTCCTGACTGGTAAATTTCATTTTAAATGACTTCTTATCTAGGAATAAAAACAAAGTTTTTATCATTCCTAGGTTAATTACCTCTGATTTTTAATTTTGATCTACCTTATCGGCAGTGGGTAGAAGATATTCCAGGCAGCCTGGGCGCAGTGGCTCACGCCTGTCATCCCAGCACTTTGAGGGGCTGAGGTGGGCGGATCACTTGAGGTCAGGAGTTTGAGACTAGCTGGCCAACATGGTGAAACCCCGTCTCTACTAAAAATACAAAAATGAGCTGGGCATGGTGGTGCATGCTTGTAGTGTCAGCTATTCGGGAGGCCAAGGCAGGAGAATTGCTTGAACCCTGGAGGCCGAGGTTGTAGTGAGCCAAGATTGTGTCACTGCACTCCAGCCTGGGCAACAGAGCGAGACTACATCTAAGAAAGAAAGAAAGAGAGAAAGGGAGAAAGGGAGAAAGGGGGAGAGAGAGAGAGAGAGAGAGAGGGAGGGAGGGAGGGAGGGAGGAAGGAAGGAAGGAAGGAAGGAAGGAAGGAGAAAGAAGGAAAGAAAGAGAAAGAAAGAAAAGAAAAGAAAGCAGGAAAGAGAGAGAAAGAAAGAAAGAGAAAAAGAAAGAAAGAAAGAAGGAAATAGAGAGAGAAAGAAGGAAGGAAAGAAAGAAAGAGAAAGAAAGAAAGAAAAGAAAAGAAAGAAGGACAGAGAGAGAGAAAGAAACAGAGAGAAAGAAAGAAGAAAAAAAAAGAAGAAAACATTTTAGGTGAAGGGAACACTTGCAAAGAGATGGGAGGGTGAGTGCCCATGAGGCATTTGGAGGCATGGCAAGCAACATCGCTGGAGCATGAAGTATGAGGAGGTAGAGAGGAGATGAGAAGAGGATAATGACAACAGTGATGGCAACAGCAGCAAAACAGAAAACACACCCAAATCTTACTGCGCCGGCATTGGCTCACCCAGTCCCACAAAGGGCTCACCAAAGAGATATCAGCATCAGCTCCAATTTACCTGTGAGAAAAGATGAGGCACAGAGGGGGCAAATTTCACCCAGCTCATAAGCGGCTGGGCTAGGCTGGGCTAGGCTGGGCTAGGCTGGGCTAGGCTGGGCTCCCAACCCAGGGCGCCTGGTTCCCTCTGACCCTCTGATCATTATGTGGCCAGATGGTGCGTGGCCTGGATGGGGCGGGGTTGGGGGAAAGGAACAGTCCCCTCCTCCCTCCCTCAAAGTTCCAATCTGGAGCTCAGTGTGAGAACAAACTCTACAGTGTCTGCTCTCGGGATACTGGCCAGAAACCTGTAGCAAAGTTCTGAGGAAGTAGGTGAAGTAACATGTTGCATGAACGGATAAACCAAAAACGCATCTCAATACCCTTATGGTTCCAAGTTTGTCAGGTGTTCTTCAGCTTTCGTCAAAGTCATCACCACAGACACAGAATCCCACTGGACTGGAAATGCTATGGACTTCTGTTTCTTTGCAGCAAGATAGCAGAATGTCAATTTAAACTTTTTCCCCATGCTTTGCATGGTACCTGGCCCGCAGGAGGCCTTCAGAAGCAATTGTTGGGTGAGTAGTTAGCCAGAGACAGGGGCCATCAGGCTCTTTCTCTGGAAGGCGCACGGCACCTGCCCCTGGTTCCCAGCACTACATTTTCGCTGCAGTCTTGGTTCTGTCCAGTCATCATGAGCATCTGGGAACACAGCTCCTTGCCTTGGGCAAAAACAGACCGCAAGCCACGTATCTGGGCTGGTTTTGGGGAAGAGCTTCGCATGCTGAAAACAAACTTGTTAAATAATGACACCAGGAGGTTCGTGATCTACAAGGAAAATGAGGCATGGAGTTTTGAAGGGCAGTAACTAAATTTGTCACATGTCACACAATTCTATTACTGTATGGTTGAGCTTAGCGAAAAGAGGAGAAGAGAGCTTAAGAGTATACAAACATGTCCTGAAAAAGCTGACAAATCTTTAGTGAATGAGGAAATGTTTAGCCCTCTGTAATGTCAGCCTCATCCTATCACTCACCCACTGAACATCCAACACTGCATCCCAGGGTTCAGCTGTTACTGTGGTGGGGGTTCATGCAGGCTTGAGAGCCATATGGCCTGAGTTCAAATCTTGCAGCAGCCTCCTAGTAGCTGTGTGGCCTTGGGCACATCACTTCACCTCTCTGAGCTTCTGTTGCTTCATCTGTATGATGGGATAATAATAATAACACTTATCTCCTTGGTATTTTGTAAAGATGCAATGAATCAATGCATGGAAAGCCCTTGGAAGGATACGTCATAAGAACTCAGTAAACTGTTGTAGATCGAACCCTAGGAAATTGCCAATATTATACTACTCTTTCCCTCAAAAACAGTAGTTTCATATTGCTTAAACTATCATTATTATGATTATTATTATTGTTATTATTTTGAGATGAATTCTCCCTCTGTTGCCCAGGCTGGAGGGCAGAGGCACGATCTCGGCTCACTGCAACCTCTGCCTCCCAGCTTTGAGCGGTTCTCCTGCCTCAGCCTTTTGAGTAGCTGAGATTACAGGCGTGCACCACCACACCCAGCTAATTTTTGTATTTTTAGTAGAGACAGGGTTTTACTATGTTGACCAGGGTGGTCTCGAACTCCTGACCTCAGGTGAGCCACCCACCTCAGCCTCCCACAGTGCTGGGATTACGGGCATGAGCCAGGCCGACTGTCATTATTATTATTATTATAAGATGGAGTCCAGACTCTATGCACACATTAGTCCGCCCAGAATGACCTTGCGTTTTAAACACATAACAGAATCCTGCTTCTTCCCAGAAGCCGAGCTCAGACACTGCCTCCATGAGGCCTTCCCAGATCTTCAGTGTGCAATCGTCACTTCTGTCCTGGAGGCTTCGTCAGCACCGTGGGTCTCTCTTTGGGCTTGAACACTGCAGCATAATATCGAGTTTATGTGTCTGCCTTCCCCACTGGATTGGAAGTGCTTTGAGGGCAGGGACAGGGTCAGGCTTGCCACATAGTGATCGCCGATTCCCTGCCTCTGCTGTCCAGCCTCTTCTTCAGCCGTCTTCCACCGGCAAGGCAGAAGGCCCTGCACATTGCAAACCTGCGGCTGCTCTTGCCTCCTGGGACTGGTGGAGAAGTTGGCTCCATTCTGCAGATCTGTCTGGCAAGGCACAGACACACCTGACACACCCTTTAGAGGAAGGAGAAGAGGCATTAGCAGGACTCACATGTTACCTGGTGAGGCGGTCCTTCCTGTCATTTGCAGAAAAGGTGCCTGAGAGGTGTGAGGTGCTGGTCGTGAAGGGATCACAGGCACAACAGTGACTGGAAAGGAGACGTAGAAAGAGTGGAGATTTGAAATCAGATGGGCTTAGCTTTGAACTCTGAGCCAGCCACTTCAGAGCTAATGCATTTAGTGAAGGCATTTAGAATCTCAAACTGTTAAGTGGGTTTTCATCTATAAAGTGGACCTGATGATAGCTTGTTGGGGGAACTAAGTGAAGGCAAGTAAGATGGCACATTTGGGGAAAGCCCTGAGATGTGCTGGGCGTGAGGTTTGCAACCAGCAAGACATTAGTTTCTCTTTCAAGGGAAAGTCACTTTCTCTCGTCACTGGGAAGCAGAAAATTTATAGAGGACATCCACTCTACAGGACTCTTGACTGGATTGTCAAGCACCTGCCACATGACGTGGAGGGGGAGGCTCACGCTGCCCCAATCTCATTTTCTGACCCAGAACACAGTGAGGACAGTGTGTGTCTCACTGAACTGTCACCAAAGGAAGTGAGCCAATGTGTGAAGAGTATTTGGTGCCAGGCGCAGAAAGTGCCCCGTAACTGTTAGCTATCCTTGTCGTCTCTTCCTTTGATTAAACGTGTGAACGGAGGGGCTTTTACAAACATTTGGACGCAGAGACCATTTCACTGTCCTCTTGCCTGCAGCTCCCTCTGTCCTTGGTGTCCACGCTTGATCCTGGAACGTGCCTGGCAGCGGTCACTGTGGAACCAGGACTCTCCGCACAACGTCTGCAAGAAAAAGGCGGAATGCCCTGTCCTGCCCTCCAAGCCGATAACGTCCCAGCACCCTCCGAGCTCCTGAGCCCAGCGAGGATCCTGGCTTTTCACCAAGAGCTTAGACAAAGCATTTGCAGCAATTCCCAGGTCCATAAATCACCGCTGGAGTTATAAGTGTAATAGGGCCACTCATTCTCCGGAGCCATTTCATAGACTCCATAAATATTTGAAGCAGAACCTTCAGAGAGTGCTTTAAGAAATTGGTAGTAATCAAAGTCCTCATTTAGTGGCAAGTGGTTTTGCCTTCGGCTTAGGGATTTTGTGTTCAATGTCAGAGCCTGAGAGAAATGCTGGCCTGTGCCTGGCAAATTCTGAGGAGTTTGGCTTCGGCAATGTCGAGGCAGCAGAGGAAATATTTACTGTACCAAAGCCTATTGAATGATTGGCCCAGAGGTTCTCAACTGGGTGCTGTTTTAGCCCCCAGGGAAAATCTGGCCATGTCTGGAGACATTTTGGGTTGTCACAGCTGGGACGCTGCTACTGGCATCTGGTGGGTAGAGGCCAGGGATGCTATGAAACGTCCTACAATACCCAGGCCAGCCTCCTGTGGCAAAGAATTACAGCCCGAGGTTCGCCAATGCTGAGCCCAAGAGCCCAGGACGGATCTCGCAGCTCTGAACATGATCAGCCATGAAGAATTGTTTTGTGATTTTTCTGCCCCTGGGGTCCTTCCCATGCTTTAAAGGACTTTTTTTTTGTCTACTAAGTGAAATCCCTAACTTAAATCATTACATATTTTACATTTAAAAACATTAAAACCAACCAGAACTTTCTAATCAGTCCATTCACTCCAGAAATGTCTGTCGATATCCACTGGATGCCAGGCCATGTGGTATGTAGGAGAAGAGATGAGTCAATGTTGATCCCAGCTCCAGGACCTCACAGGACAATGGGAGAGATACTCCTGTGAGTAAATCAGCAGGCACACAAGGGTCACCTGTGCCCTGAGCGACAGGATGAAGGCAAGGGTCACTTCTACTTGGCTTGGGAGAATTGGAAGTCAGCCACAAAGGAATGGCTGAGCAGCGTCCTGTGGGTGAGGTGGGAAGGGTGCTGCCATATGAGGGAACGCATGTGCAAAGGCCCTGAGGCATAAAACTGAACTGCAGATGTTCCCCTGGAGGGGAAGTGGGTAAAGCACGCGCTTGTCAAGCCAGCTACAAGCAGTCACTGCCTCGTTTCCATCCAGCACCCCTTCCTTCCCCTGAGAACAAAGACTCATGCCCCGAATCAGGTGGGTGACCCAGGAGAAGAGCACTTCCATCCTGAGGGCAGCCCCCCAAAGAGAGAGTCCAGGGGGCTTGGACGACACACACCAGACCCTGACCCAGGCTCACCTACCAGAGATGCCACCTCTCTCTTTGGGAAGGGGCCGAGGAGGGGCTTAAGGAAAAGCCCAAAGCCACTACCTCTCCAATTCTGTCCCCTCCTGGAAGTGGCTGTCCCTTCCAGGAAGGACAAACAAGGACGAGGACGAGGAACTGAGGGCTCCCCAGGAAGTATCAACGTGCGTAGATTTATTTTAACGTAGGTTAGCTTTTTGTTTGGAAATGAAAATTACACAAAGTTCCCACAGACTCCTCCCCGGGCTTCCCTTGATGTTAGCATCTCATGTGACTTATGTTGTACAATTATAGAAGCTAGTGGGTTTTATTTTGAGGAAAATTGGGGAGCCATTGAGACGTAAGAAAGGCAGCCTCAGCACATTGAGTTCCACCCTTTAAATTCGTTTATGGGGTTTTCTGATGGGTTAGCACATTCATCCATGTATTCCCGGATTGATTTACCCACAGATCTGTCTATTTATTTATTCAATATGCATTTAGTGACTGCTGTGCGAGTGTCTGGCTAGATGCTGCTGGGGAAGAAGTAAAGATGATGCTGTCCACCTAGGTTTTCAGGGACCCCCCTGGAGACTCTGTGGCCCCGTTACCGCCCCTCAAGGAATCCCCAGATTGAAAACCACTGCGGTGATCCCTTTGTCGGTTCGACCACCCCAGGGCTTCCCTATAATTTCCAAGCAGGAAGTGACCTGCAGCACTGGTTTGGTGATCCGCCTTCTACCTCGCTCTGTATTTTGGGACAACGTCATTAGCTTTAAGCATCAGGAACATGACGGAGAGAGAACAGAAACCCGGTACAGTTGAGGACAGCCAGCTGAGCCCTTGCTGAGCCAGCGAGATGCAGCGTGGTGCCGTCTCCAGGACTCCCAGGAGCTCAGACGTCTGGCGTCTTGTCACTTCATGCTCCCCCATGCTGTGCTCACGTGCTGGGCCTGGGCAGAAAGGCAACCCAGGAAATCCATTAAAGCAAGCCAAGATGACCTTTGCAGCTTAACCCAACGATCCCCTAATAAATCATGTTTCCAAGGCAGAAGCCACTTACTCTCTCAGGCTGTGAATTCCCATCTGGGTCTGTCTAGCACTTTGGGTCGGCTCAAGCTTTGTGCCGTGGCTCCCTGGGACGCTTTTACAGTGCAGGATGGCGGACTCCTGCATTCCCCTTGCCTGGTCTGTAGACCCCAGCCCTTGGAAGGGCACACAGTGACTCCTTGCCACCCATCAGATGCTCCAGGGCAGGACCTGCTCTGGCGACCCAGCGGGTTCAAGCAGGAACTTGGCACACAGGAGCTGGTCTCAGGCTGCCCCACGGCAGGGAATGACTCTACGAGTGACCTTGAGGCCTCTGGAGACCAGCCAGACATCCAGTCTGGCTCTGCAGCAGAAAACAATTTGTCACACGGACTGTCAGCAAACAACAATGGTGGACTTCCCTGGAGGCGGAGTCCTAAACCCTGCAAGGTAAATGCACCCTTCCCCCACTGCACAAAGGGGCCCCACCTCGGCTTTGAAGCAAATCAGAGGAGAGGGTTGGCGTGGCCCGAGGCCAAGCAGCAGAAGCATTAGAGTAAGGTCCCTCCCTGCTGCCTGGCTCATTTTCCTGTGCTCCTGGGAGGCCTTCTGCTTGAGCCGCAAAGGAGTTCTGCTCGGCAGATGTTTCTCTGAGCATTTGTCAGGACAGGTGAAGGCCTGGGGTCTAATCACAGGAGTCTCACTCCAGGTTCCTGTCCTCCAGAGTCTGCTCTGACTGAGTGACATGAACAGGGACAACACAAGGCCCAGGGGCCATGGAGTGGGCAGCTGACCAGTGAGCAGTCAGGGAGGGCTTCCTGGAGGAAGTGCCCTCTGAGTTGAGCCCTGGAGATGAGGGATCAGCCTGGGAGAGAAGGCCTCCAAGCTAGAAGAAATCATGAGCAAAAGCCCAGGTGGGGTTGGGGTAGGAAGTGGTGGTAGAGATACATGGCTTTCTGTAATCCTGGAGTGGAAGGTTCCAGAAGGAAGACATTGCCTTTTTTGTGATCCTACTGTGTGACCCTTTCTGATGTTCCCACAATGAGGAAATCACTTAACCACACAATTCTCACAACCTATCCCTGTGGTTATATGCAGGACTGTGTATCTGAGGGTAAATTGCTAAGAGGGAATTGTGGGTCAGAGGAGGTTAACGTTTGTCTTTTTGCTGGCCTTGACCAAACTTGACTCCTCACCTCTCTTTGAAGTTGTAGCAGTTTTTGAATCTACTTGCAGAGCTTGGGGGTGCCTGGGGCCCCCAACCCTGCCAGCACCCACCTGTGATGTGTGGATTCCATTTAGCATCACAGACAGGGCCCTGTGCTGATGGGGATGCTTCTGAGTAGGGGGGATGGGAGTTAGCAAGCAGGTGTTTGCTTCCTGCCTCCACCGGAGGAGCCAGCTCCGTTTGCATCTGCAGGTGCTCACAGGCAGGAGTGATCTCAGCTAGGAGACTGGGATCTGGCTGCCGGAGATGACTCCGGCAGAGCACTGGGCAGTTTGGAGGCTGGTGAGGGGCTGAGAAGTGGCCTTCGGGCTGAGCCAGGAAGGTTGATATGGTCCTGCGTTCCTATCCCCATCCACCACGCAGCGGCTGTGGACCCTCTGCCCAGGCCCCTTTAGGCCTGGCTTCCTCTTGGGAAAATGGAAATTACAGCCCTGTGACATCATCTTATCTCGTGGAGCCTTGAAAGGTATCACGTGGCCAGTGCCCGGCGGTGGCATTCACAGCCCAGGTGTGTGACCACCCCTCGTCCTTTCCCCTGTAACGCTGGAGGCAGGTGACCCAGAAGCCAAGCACACACCTCCGCCTGGCTTTGCATCCCAGCTCTTCCCCTTACCCCGCCTCTCCCCGCCTCGGTGATCTCGTCTGTAAAATGGGGATGCCTGCCTCCAAGGGCGGTGGTGAGGCGTGAGTGAGTTAGCATCTGTGAAGCGCTCAAGGGGGAGCCCTGTGACATGCTTAGAGCTACGGAAGTGCCGCCACTGCTTTATCTCCATGCGTGTCATTTTTAAAAAACAGAATGAAAACAAATCACTTAAGGTGTGGGTGGGAAGGAGAGGTGGGCGGGGGCGCTCAGAGGGAGACACGCTCACAGCTGAAGAGCTCAGGAGGAAGACAGCAGGGGTCAGAGGGAAGCAAGGCTGCTGCTTCGGGCCTGTGCACAGGGCAGGTCAGCGGAGGTCTGCAGGGGTTGTAACAAGCCTGTCCAGAGGTTTCCTTCTCAGCTTTAATCCTGAAAGTAACAGGAGTTCAACGCTTGTGGCTGCTGAGGCTTCTCTCGGGTCTCTCCCAGCCAGCATCTCTGGTCCGTTCCACTGGTCCGTCTTTTCTGGAACTGCCTTTCCCTTGGATTTGAGGGCCTTCTGGAGGTGGGCTGATCTGGGCATCTTCTGTTCCCTAAATGTCTACGTTTGTTTATCCGGAAGATTTTGCATCCCTGCTGCTTGGGCCAGTACCTTTTACTTGTTTTGACCCTTTTTAAAATGAACGAATCGAATACAGGCTGGCACGTGACGCTCCAGAGCCCTCTCCTCTCCATGCACTGCCTGCCCAGGGAAGCCTAGGTGGGAGTGGAGGTCAGCTTTGCTGCCTGGAGCTGATCCCCCTCCCCCATCCTCCCAGCGCATCTTTTCTCCTCTCCTTTCCCTCCCAACACATATCAACTCCCTCCTCTGCTACAGAACCTCAGCCCATTGCTCCCTGGGGCCCTCGAGCCATGGCTCTGTCTGAGTGGCCGAGAGTAATTTAGCATCAGGCAG